ATGACTACTCTTTCTAGCTCAGTACAAGAAGATGCACCCATAGGAACCGTCATTGCACTTATCCAAGCAAAGGACAATGATTCTGAGGAGAATGGGCAAGTCCGCCTGGAGATTCCAAGGCATGTACCATTTAAATTGGTGTCTTCATTTAAAGGACATTATTCACTAGTGACTAATGCCCCACTTGATCGAGAGAAGACTGCTGGATACAATATCAAAATTAAAGCAACAGATTCTGGAATACCTCAAAAGTCAACTGAGAAAAATATATTAATTCAAGTTTCCGATATAAATGACAATGCACCCACTTTCTCCATCCCTTCCTACACAGCCCATGTGGAGGAAAATACATCTCCGGGAACTCTAGTCTTTTCTGTGTCGGCCTGCGATCCAGATGTAGGTGTCAATTCCAAGCTATCTTATTCCATAGTGGACACCGGAAATCAGGGCTTGCCCATCTCAACCTATTTCCACATCAATCAAGAGAATGGCAGTATTTATACCTCCAGGGTTCTAGATTATGAGCAAGAAAAAGTCTTTCAAGTTTCAGTAGAGGTGAAGGATTCAGGTTTCCCACCACTAAGCAGCACAACCACTCTTCATCTGTTCATAGTGGATCAGAATGATAATGCACCTGTAATTGTACACCCAGAAGTTCCCAAAGGTTCTGCCTTTCATCAGTCACTTCTAATCCCAGTAGAACCTGGATATCTGGTAACTAAAGTAGTGGCAGTGGATGCTGACAGTGGCCATAATGCATGGGTTTCATACCAGTTGCTCCATGAGACAAATGAGCTAAATGCTTTTAAAGTAGAAGACCACTCAGGAGAGATCCGTGTCACTCGGACACTGAAGGAACCTGGGGTTTCTCACCGGTTGGTGGTAGAAGTGAAGGACAATGGGATGCCATCTCTTTCAGCATCATTGATTCTAATAATCTCCTCAGAGGATAATGCTGGACAGGATTTTACCAAGTCCTTGGATCTTCTTCCCAAGTCACCTGCCAGGGCTCAGAATTTAACTCTTTATCTTATCATCTCTCTTGTGGCTATCTCTCTGGTGTCTTGTGTAATGATGATTATTGTGGGAGCCAGGTGCTTCAAATCTGGTTTCTGTATCCCAAACTGGATTATATCACGCTGGTGTAGTAGGAGGACAGACCGGAAATCTACCATAAATATCAGTGGGTATCCAAATCCAGAAGGCTTTATAAGATACCTTGAAGTGAGTGGAGCTGGAGCTCAGAACTACAAGTCTTGTTTCTCCCCTATGTCTGAGCAGGGAGATTTCTTTTTTGTTAAACCTTTCAGTCATTCCACTACAGCAGAAAGCATTCTTGCCTTTGAACATACAGGCAGTGCTTTGCAGAACCCCTCTGATGCGGTAAGATACACCAAGACAATGCTGGAACATATATAAATATATATCTATATGGATATACATATATTTGCAGTCTATATTTAACAGAAATGCTCCCATGAACTTTTATTTGACCTGAAGATACCATCTTCCTGGGTGGGGAACAGTTTAGTACTGTTTTTTAAAGTGATTTTGGATGCTTTGTTATAAATAACTTGTGTTGCCATTGGTCCCCATATTGACAACTGTCTTTGCTCCTCAATGAGACATCTCATGTATTAAAAGAGAATGAAGTTTGTTTTGTGAGTGATCCTGGTCTTGGTAGCTGCTATTTTGATTCTTTTGTAGATAGTCCTTGATTTATGACCACATTTGGGGCAGGAACTTCTGTTGCCAAAGGATGTGGTAGTTAGGTGAATCACACCCAACTTTATTACCTTTCTGCAGTGATTGTAAAGCAAATCACAGGATTATTAAGTGAACCCAGCTTATTCCATTGACTTGTTGGACGATGGCTGGGAAGGTTGCATGATCCTGGGATGCTGCAACCATCTTAAGTATATACCAGTTGCCAAGTGCCCAAATTGTGATCACATGACCACAGGGACGCTGCAATGGTCATAAGTATGAGGACAAATCATAAATCATTTTTTTCAGCTCTTTTAGCATTGAATGGTCACTAAACAAATAGTCATAAGTCAAGGACTACCTGCATTCAGTGCAGCTAAGTAAGTTTAAATACAGAAATCAAATCTAGAAAGTTCAGAAGGCTGATTAAAATGAACAATAAAAAGTGTTAAAATAATCCAATGAATTGTTTGCCCTTTAATAGAAAGTTCTTAGTGGTGTTACTGTGTCAAGAAGGCTTCAGTGTCAATTTAGATAAGGAACAGAAAGTAAATTTATTGATGAGTAAAAGTTAGCAGATGAAATTCTTTAAGTTCCTTCAGTTATCCTCAATTTGTGCAGCAAATGGTTGGGAGAAAAGTTCTGGACAGATTTAATTGTTAACTAAATTTAGCTATCTTAACTTCAGACTAAAACAAATGAAACATTTTATAAAACCTATTTGGGAGTGCAGAACAGAAGTTTCAGGAGCACTGTTTCCCGCTGAGTTTTAGAAAAACTTTTAACCATAAGTCCAGTTCAATATTAGAGGCTAGGCAGCCAGCTCTCAAGGTGGCTTTAATTTGGATTACTGGACTGAATGGGATGCAGTGACCTAAATGACCCTTTCCCAGTCTATGGTTGGTTCTCTGAAAGGACACTGTGGGTTAGGTATTTATTTCCTTGCTTCCAGTTGGAGATTTGCAAATATGCCTGATACATCATTTTTAGCAAGAGGTTGTGATTTCTAAAGTTTTGCTGATTTCATAAAGTGCTCTCATCTTTCTCACATTACTAGAACCTCTATATGATGATGAAGCAATATTCAGAATCATCTTTGCTACAAAATTTTAATGTTTACTATTGATTATACAAACATAAAAAAATATTTATCCAAAGAAGTTCAGGAACCCGGACTCAAGTGCTCAAGACAGGGCAAATATCTTCTTTTTGCTTTTGAGTTCACTTCTTTAAAATTGCCTTCTAAGTCTATTTTATGGGACTTTACCCCATATTCAGGGCTAACAGTTTTATCCTTGGGGGAAGATGGTTGCTTATTTTTTGCTTTTTCAGAGGGTAGCCATTTTCGCTGTTAAAATGACCATCCATGAGCTCCATGCAAGCCTCCACTAATCATCACATTGCTATTTGCTGCTGAATATCAGTGCTATAGAACTGAGGCTCTGGAATCTACAATGTTTGGTTTAAGTCTACAAGTTATATGCTATTGCCTTAAAGAAAGAATTGCAAATTCACAGAATAGAGCTGGAAGGGACATTGGAGGTCTTCTAGTCCAACTCCCTGCTCAAGCAGGAAACCCTCTGCCATTTCAGACAAGTGGCTGTCCAGTCTCCTCTTAAAAGCCTCCAGTGATGGAGCACCTACAACTTCTGAAGGCAAGCTGTTTCACTGGTTAATTGTTCTCACTGTTAGGAAGTTTCTCTTTAATTCCAGGTTGCTTCTCTCCTTGATTGGTTTCCATCCATTGTTTCTTGTCCTGCTCTCTGGTGCTTTGGAAAATATGAACTTTTCATATTTTCATATTATAAAATTATTTTTAATAATGGAATATGAAATTATTTCATATTTTCATATTATTTTCATATTATGAACTTTATTATCTTGAACAGAATCCAGGTAGCCTTTAAGGTTATTTTATTATTTTATGTATTGGCTATATAGTGCTATATAGGTATTGCTTTAAAAAAGAACTTAAAAAGAAGCTTTACATATATGAAGTAATATATACAAGATCTTAACTGTAACGGGGAATTCTTCAGAAATTGACACAGAAAATTACACCCGTAAGAGCTATGCTCACTTAGAATTGATTAGAAATAGTGTTTTGGAACTTGTAGGAGCACAGCTGTTGTCTGGCTTTCATGAAAAAAAGCCTGACTTTTTCAGCGAGACAGAAAAAAGATGCTTTTGCTGCTTTGAGAAATCCATTCGTTTAAGTTTTGTTTTGTGCCTTTGTGTTGGCTCCTGGGGACTGCTAAAACAAATCCCTGCAGTTATCCTGGCAAAACTTTCAAAAGTTTCACTCTGTGAATAACTTATTGGATATCTTTTAATAAAGTGGTGGGTATGATAAGCATTATTACAAGTAGTCCCTACTTAGCAACTACTCTTTCAGCGACCATTTGATGTTAAAATGATGCTGAAAAAGGAGACTTACGATCAGTCCTTGGAATTGTGGCTGTCCAGAATCCCTGTGGTCAAGTGATCACAATATTGGCACCTGGCAACCAGAACATACAATGATTGCCGTATCCCACAGTCTGGTGATTGTTATTTGCAACCTTGATTGTGACCTTTGCTTCAGACAAGCAAAGTCATTGGGGAGGCTGGCAGGAAGTCACAAGTTGTGATCACATGACATCACGCTTAACAATCTACAGTAATTTGCTTAATGACTGCAGCTGGAACTGATGAACTAGTATCATTAGTTAAGTGTTGTCACATGATGATTCACTTTGCAACCTTATCACTTAGTAATGGAGCCGAGAGTCCCAATTGTAGTTGGTAAGTGAGGATTACCTATATGTAATAGGTTTCTATTGAATCTCCTTTTTCTCTCTTTTTTACTGTACCCATCCATATTCTACTGGAAAAAATGTAGTAAAACAACTCTCTTTCAGAATCAATCTTCCCCTAATTTCATTATTGGTGATATTCAATTATGCTTTTTCAGGTTTGTTACATGTTTTAATTCGTCTATGTATTTTTATGGAATACTTCTCTGAATGATTTCTCTAATAGATTACAAAATATTTCAGATTGTGGTGATAGCTGAAGCGTTGTTGAATAAACAAGCAAACATTTTTAAGCATACTATTTAATCATGCATTCCTGTTTGGAAATAGCCTGAAAACGTCATTGTATACCTGTGTATATTATTTATAATTCAAACTTCCAAAGCATATACTAACCATATACTACAATTTATGTTTAATATTCTGTAATAATAATAAGGATGCTGTGCTTAAATTGAAAAATAGAAATATGTTCCTCTTTATGTTTGTTTTTTTCAGCAAACACAACCTAACACAGACTGGCGTTTTTCTCAGGCTCAAAGACCAGGAACTAGTGGGTAAGTTGCTTTACACAAATAAGATACTCTATAAATGGATATTATTTTTGTGCTATAAAAGTATATGAAAATGCCTTGAGAAGTAATAGATTTTTCTAGATCTTTGTCATTTAGAACATGCTGGAATATTTGCGAAGATTAAAGTGTGAAATATATATACATATAATATTATATATTATATGAAATATTAGAATAGAATAGAATATTGGAATATTTTATATATGTATTCCATTTTTTTCCCTACTTATAGCTACAAAAATGAAGCTAAAGTTGTTCAACATATTTTACTAATGAACAGTAAGAAATAATATAGGAAAGTTCATTTTATTGTTTGCCAGTTCAAACTGTATTAGTAACATTCACACAAAAAGTTTCAGATAGAGATTTTGTTCCTTTCAGAGATATCTGATAGAAAAGTATAGTCTAAAAATGAAAACTCAGGAGATTAGAGGAGGGTCCCGAGATTCTGAATGCCAATTTTGTTGCCTTCACCACAACCCAACTTTCTCTCTCTTGCTCCCAGCTTTGGGTTAGAAGTGAACTTGGAGATCCAAATCACCTGCAGATACTCATTTCTGTAGCTTCTTCTAATCAAAGAATGTCACTGCTTCCATAAGTTGTCTGTTCCGTTCTTGAACAACTCTAATTTCTATAATATTTTTTGACATCTGGCCACAATTTACTTTATTGTAATTTATACTACTGTTTCATTTTTTGTCTTTTGGAAAACTCTGGACAATTTTGTCCCATCTTCTACGTGACAGCCCATTTTGTATGTTTGATCTCGGTCACAATATTGTCTAATAATAAATTGAAGATTTTTTTCTTATAGTCCTGGAACACTTGGTTCTCAGATATCCTTGTTAACCATCAGGGCTACTTTTTCTGCTTTTCTACTTGCCCCTTTCTAGTTCTTTTACTTGGGCAAGTGGAAACCATATATATTTTTGAGAGAAAATATAGGCCAATCAACTTTACATCAATATCTGGGAAAATCCTGAAAAGATAATCAAGTTGTGGATTTGTGAGCAGGGAACTAGGTATGTCTGACCCTAGCCTATCAAAGAGAAGCATTAGGGATAACACGATAGCTGTTTTCCAGTAGTTGAGGAGCTGTCATAGAGGGGGCTTATTCTCCAAAGCACCTGAGAGCAGGACAAGAAGTAATGGGTAGAAACTTGTTAAAGAGAGAGCCAACCTAGAACCAAGGAGAAATTGCCTGACAGTGAGAACAGTTAATCAGTGGAACAGCTTGCCTCACAGAGTTGTAGGTGCTCCATTGCTGGAGGTTTTCAAGAATAGACCGGGCAACTGTTTGACTTGGATGATACAGGTAGCACTCGACTTACTACCATTCATTTAATGACCATTCAAAGTTATAACGGCACTGAAAAAAATAACATGACCATTTTTCACACTTATGACCATTGCATCATCCCCATGGTCAGGTGATCAACATGTGGATACTTGGCAAATTAAATGTATTATGACAGTTGCAGTGTCCCAGGGTCATGTGATTACCTTTTGCGACCTTCTGACAATAAAGTCAATGGGGAAGCTAGATTCACATAACAACAGTGTTACTAACTTAACAATTGCAGTGATTCAGTTAACAACCTGGGCAAGAAACGTCATAAAATGGGGCAAAACACACTTAACAGTTATCTTGCTTAACAACAGAATTTTGGGGCTCAATTGTGGTAGTAAGTCAAGGACTACTTGTATAAAGTCTCCTGCCTTGAGCAGGTTGTTGGACTAGAAGACCTCCCAGGTCCCTACTGGCCCTATGATTCTATAATTTCAGTGATTCACTTAACAACTGTGGCAAGAAAAGTCATAAAATTGGGCAAAATTAATGTAACAAATGTTTCACTTAACAACAAAAATGTTGAGCTTAAGTATGGTTGTAAGTCAAGGATTAGCTGTATACAGTTCTTTCAGAAAGGATTTAGACTCCCTTCACTTTTGCCAATTTTGTTATGCTGCAGCCTAATTCTACAGATATTGAAATTCATTTTTTTCCTCATTAATCTACACTCAGTACCCCATAATGACAAAGTAAAAACATAAGTTTAGAAATGACTGTAAATTTATTTAAAAGAAACAACTGAACTATCACATTGGCATAAATACTCAGATCCTTTGCAAGAACAGTTGAAATTTAGCTCAGGTGCCTCCCATTTATCTTGATCATTGCTGACATGTTTCTACACCTTGATTGGAGTCCACCTGTGGTAAATTAAATTGATTGGACATGATTTGGAAAGGCACATACCTCTCTATAGAACAGGGGCATCAAACTGGCGGCCTGTGGGCCAAATGCATCACACACATGCCACGCCCACCCCAGCTCCACAAAGGCAAAAAATGTCGTGATATATCACGTGACGTGATCGAGTTTGACACCCGTGCTATAGAAGGCTTCACAACTGACAATGCACACTGTAGCAGAGTAAAAGCCATGAGGTCAAAGGAACTGCCTGCAGAGCTCAGAGAGAGGATTATTGCTAGGCATAGATCTGGGAAAGGCTACAGTAAAATTTCTGCTGCACTGAAGGTTCCTAAGAGCACAGTGACCTCCATAATTCTCAAATGGAACAAGTTTGGCACAACCAGGACTCTTCCAAGAGCAATTGGGGGAGAAGGGCATTAGTAAGAGAGGTGACCAAGAATCCAATGGTCACTCCGACTGAGCTCCAGAGATCCTGTGAGGAGATGGGACAGAGTTCCAGAAGGACAACCACCACTGCAGCTCTCTACCGATCTGGGCTTTATGGCAGAGTGGCTAGATGGAAGTCTCTCCTCAGTGCAAAATACATGAAAACCCACTTGGAGTTTGCAAAAAAGCACCTGAAGGACTCTCAGACTGTGAGCAACAAGATTCTCTGGCCTAATGAAACCAAGATTGAATTGTTTGGTCTCAATTCTAAATGTTATGTCTGGAGGAAACCAGGCACTGCTCATCACCTGCCCAATATCATCCCAACAGTGAAGCATGGTGGTGGTGTCTTTCAACAGTAGGAACTTGGAGACTGATCAGGATTGAGGGAAAGCTGAATAGAGCAAAGCACAGGGATATACTCAATGAAAACCTGTTCCGCAATGCTCAGCATCCCAAAATGGGCTGAAGGTTCACTTTCCAACATGACAACGATCTAAGCACACAGCCAAGACAACAAAGGAATGGCTTAGAAACAACTTTGTGAATGTCGTAGAGTGGCCCAGCCAAAGCCCTGACTTGAACCCTATTGAACACTTCTGATGGGATCTGAAAATGGCTGTCCACCAATGGTCACTATCCAACCTGACTGAACCTGAGATGATTTGCAAGGAAGAATGGCAGAAAATCCTCAAATCCAGGTGCCTAACGCTTGTTGCATTGTACCCCAAAAGACTTGAGGTTGTAATTGCTGCCAAAGGTGCTTCAACAAAGTACTGAGTGAAGGGTCTGAATAATTAATGCCAATGTGATAGTTCAGTTTTTTCTTTTAAATAAATTTATAGACATTTCTATACTTCTGTTTTCACTTTGTCATTATGGGTACTGAATGTACATTAATGAGAAAAAAATGAATTTCAACAACTGTAGAATCAGGGTGCAGCATAACAAAATTGACAAAAGTGAAGGAGGTCTGAATACTTTCTGACTGCACTATAAGTGAAACAATATGTGTTGACAGTATTGTATTATCCTTGCCTCCGTTCCAAAAGAACTCTGTTTCTCCTGCTGTAGTTCTTATAGTAACTTCTTGTTCATTATAAAGTTTCTTCAGAAAACAAGTTTTGGCCCTCATCTATCTATCTATCTATCTATCTATCTATCTATCTATCTATCTATCTATCTATCTATCTATCTATCTATCTATCTATCATCTATCTATCTATCTATCATCTAAACTCTTGTTTCTATAACCTTTAATTGGGAAAACAGTGCATCATAGGGCAATAATGTTTGAAGGAAGGTACCTCAAATGGTCTAGGCCAGTGATGGCAAACCTTGCCCAAACTGCAACCCAAAACCCACTTATGCATCGTTGAGTGCCGGGTGGGTGTGGCCCATTGGCTGGGCATGGCTGCGGTGGTAACGGCAGGCTGGGTGGGACTAAAAAGTTCAATCAATCAATTCTAACTTTGCAAGATCTCTTTTTTTCCCACAAGAAGTTGAAATTGACTGATTGATTGAACCTTTTTTTTTTTTTTTGCACACGGCGGCGGAGGCCTAAAGCGAAAAGGTTTTATAAAACCCAGCTGAAGGCCTAGGACTAGGGTGACGGCACGCGTGTCCACAGAGAGGGCTCTGAGTGCTGCCTCTGGCACCCATGCCATAGGTTCACCACCACTGGTCTAAACTTAACAGAATGTATCCAGGACTTCTTTACTCTCAAGCTGCTGCTGTGGTCTCATGATGCTCATTTTGAATGTTCTGTGATAGCTTCCCAATGACTTACAATTTCTTGCTCCCTGCTCCACCCAGCAGTTGCCTGCAGGGAAGGGGAGAAAGGAATAGAGGGGGAGGGAGGAGCAGGGAGAAAGGGATCCCCATGCATTTTTCCCAGTCTACACCCCCCAACACGCTCCCCCAACTCACATCTCTTGGACACACCTTCCCAACCATCGCTGTGTATCATCCCTGACTTGCACAGCACTTCTCATATACTTTCATACACCCAGGCACTCTTCCTAACACACACCATTACAGACACTTGCACCTTCCTAACTCATGTTGCCTCCCCCCCACACACACACACCCTCCCTGACCCTTGTACATACATGCACACCCTTCCTGTCCTCTGCGGCACCTCTCATGCATCCACACATACCATTCCCAACTTCTTGTTCCCTCCCCCATCTGGCAATAGCCACTGTCTGCTGGCCTTAGCCTTCCCCACTGACTTTCGCTCTACAAGTTTACCACAAGAAAAGTAAATGGTGATGCTGGCAGGAATTAGAGGGAGGGAGGGAGGGAGGGAGGGAGGGAGGAAGGAAGGAAGGAAGGAAGGAAGGAAGGAAGGAAGGAAGGAAGGAAGGAAGGAAGGAAGGAAGGAAGGAAGGAAGGAAGGAAGCTAGCTTTCTAATACTGCCAGCTCAATGGGGAACCCTATGGATCATTGGAATTTGCTCCCGCTGCCACTGCTTTTTTCCTATCCATGGTCATTTTGTTCCTCTGTTGTGATCCAGCAGGACACCAGTTGCTAGGTAGACTTAATATGTTCCATATGCTACCCTGATATACACAGTCAAAATCTTTCTTTATATAACATATATTTGTGCCTCTTCTTGATTTCTCTTCATTAGTTTTGTTATCACACTCGTGTCTTTAGACTTTTCTGAAACCTGCCTGTTCATATGACATTTTTTTAATTTCATGTGCCGTTATTCTTCTTTGAAAGATCTTAAGCAAATGGGTTTATTTTATTTAACATGTTACACTACCAACCATTGAATTTAGTTTATAGTAACAACGGTAATGGTTCAGTATATAATACTTTGATAATTTTTACATAGGTATATGTACCAGTTTTTTCCAATCTCTAGGTCACATGATTTTGTTTCATATTTGATGACGCAGAACTGTTAGCACTTGAACCGACCTTTCCCTTTTAGCTTTAAATAGTTCAGTGTGCATTTTATTTGAACCTGGCTGTTTTCTATTTGTCGGCTGGTCCATTGCCTTTCTTATATCCCTTCTTAGTGGAGTTGGCCCTGAATATTTATTCATTCTACAAATGTTTCTGTCTTTCTAAGATTCTTATGTTTATTAAACCCTTCTGTAAAGAGATGAGGGAATTCTTAGAAATGTGCATCTGGGTGGGACAGCTACTGCTCCAGAATACTGAATAAATTTTAAAGCAATCTTGATAGGTTAGAAAAGTGAGCTGAAAATAATAGAATGAAATTTAAATTTCTTCAGTTAGAAAAAGAAGTGAAATGCACAAGCACAAGATGGGGAATAGCTAGCTCAATAATTGCACATATAAAAGGGTAATATAGGCCACCATCTCTTCAGTCAGAAGGGGTCTCATTGCAAAGGTTTGACTTATGGATAGGCCTGTCACTTTTTGAAACTGTTCTCCCACTCACCCTATTGCATTTTTTTATGCAATCATGTACCAGTGGTTTAAAAAAAACAAATTGGCATACCTGTCATGATACAGCCACTTAAAGTATGATGAAATTACACAAAAAGAAATCAGATTGGAACTTTGAATCTGAACAGACGTAACAGAACTCCCCGTTTCACATTAGGTGAGTAAAATCTGTCTTAATTGCCCTGAGCTGCAAATCCAATGTCCTATCTTCCTTTAAAATTTAGAATCAATGTTACTTGCACAAAGGTACCATTAAAGCAGTGTTTCTCAACCTTGACAATTTTAAGGCATGTGGACTTCAACTCCCAGAATTCCACAGCCAGCAATGCTGGCTGTGGAATTCTGGGAGTTGAAGTCCACATGCCTTAAAATTGTCAAGGTTGAGAAACACTGCATTAAAGCAACCAGTCTGGTGTAGTGAGTACTAATCCCACGAAGCCAACTGCCTGACCTTGGGCCAGTCACTTTCTCTCAGCCCTAGGAAGCAGGCAATGACAAATCAGTTCTGAAAATCCTTGCCAAGTAAACTGCAGGAACTTGTCCAGGCAGTCTCCAAGAAACAGACATGATTGAGCAGAAGGAAAAAACATTCTTTTACAAAACCAGCAATTGTGTGATAATAGCCATCAAACTTTCAGAGCCAAAGTTCATAAGGTAGAAGATGTGTATTTTTCCAGGAACTAATATGTATTGGTAAGTTAGTTTATCTAAGTAATATTAATATCAGAGAAGTTAATCTACTTATGGGGGGAGTTATAAATATCAAGAATAAGCCTCGATACATGTTATGTGAAGAAATCAAGGCAGCAAATAAATAAAAGCAGTCAATAAAATTGTACATATTTTCTTTTTGCTTCTATTGTACTTTTCATATATTTCATTTGCTTTGTTTCTTCTTAGATCTCAGAATGGAGATGAAAATGGAACTTGGCCAAACAATCAGTTTGATACTGAAATGCTTCAGGCTATGATTTTAGCATCAGCAAATGGTCAGTTTACACAAATAATCTAGCCTATTCCCATCCCTTCTCACAACCCTTTAAAATTAGTATAAAATGTACTGCAAAAGCTTTGTGTTTGATGGCAAGAAAACTGAAGTGTCTCTTATGTTAAACTAGTCAACAGTCACTGCATGTTATATAAAATATTATATTAAATGTATTCATTGGATGGTTTGGAACTATAAGTAAATTTGAGAACTTTTTGTGCTTTAATTGCACTGTAAAATAGATAATACTATGCATATTGAAATTTAAGGTTTAGAATTTATAAATTGGTAGTCCTTGACTTACGGCCACAATGGACCCCAAAATTTATGTTGATAACTAAGACATTTGGTGAGATTTACCCCATTTTACAACCTTTCTTGTCGCAGTTGTTAAATGAAATCACTACAATTATTAAATTAGTAATACGGTTGTTAAGTGAATATGGTTTCCCCATTGACTTTGCTTATCAGAAGGCCACAAAAGGTGATCACATGACCCTGGAATACAATAACCATCTTAAATATGAGTCAGTTAGTTGGCCAAGCATCTAAATTTTGATCACATGACCATGGGGATTCTGTAATAGTTGTAAGTATGAAAAACATTTCAGCGCCATTGTAACACTAAATGAAATGTTGTAAGTTAAGGACTACCTGTATATGGTACCAGAACTTGCTAATTCCTATATAGTGTACTAATTCCTTATTTTACATTCTTGGGGTACTTAACAATTCTGGATGTAAATGTTTTCATGCTGTCTGATAAAATTTGTGTCTTGATTTCTTTCTCTGTATGGATGTTAACTATCCCATCAACTGAAACAAGATATTGAATGAATTTGTAACATGAATAATAAAAAATACAGTACTCAAATATTCTGTTCTCATACTTCAGTGCAAGAGATTTTTAAAGAATGTGAAATTAGTTTATTTTGATCTTAAAATAAAGTGAATTGGACAGCATATAAATTTAAATGATAATAATAAGATAAAGACAAAAAAGCTTGGGTAAAAGTCTGGATAATTGGATGTATTCACAAAATTTCTGGATCAGCATTGACAAAATCACCATCAGTCTATTGCAAAAGGCAGCTTTACTTGGAATAGTTAAATATTTTTAACACCATCAAACAATATCAGCCTATTCCAGCTCCTTGAGAAGAACTTGATAGGTGGACTACAATGCCAAATCCAGTCTGAGGTTTTCTGTCTGACTGTGCAACCAACCATAAGTATAACAAGATATCTCAGAGAGAACTTAGGTGCATATTATAGAGGTCCAAAACATTATTTCGTGTGCTCTGTCTTATTATTATTGCACTTGGGGTTGAAAGTCTAGCATTAATAGCAGAACTTCAGACCCATTGTTGTGGGTTAAGGATTTATAAATTGTGCCAAGCTGAATTCCACAATATTTCAAATTTATCAAGACATTGAGCATTGTGATAATTTGTGAATGTTGATTCTTCTTCTTCTTGTTGTGCCATATCCGTTATCGGACATAGCCAAAATAATTATTATACAATAGTACAGCTGTCTATCAATGTTTGAATTAAATTTTTGTTTTGAATAAAGGGAGAAGGAAGAGGTCTTTCAAGGTGTTCAAAATTATCGCAATGGTTATAATATTAATTCTGGGTGTTATTATTATTGTTTTATTTATTTTTAACAATAAATCTATATATGCAGATTATATCAACCCTGTATATGTTTTGGAAGCTCCAGAGACTGGAATACATAATTATTGGAGAGGCAATATATGTTATTCTCTCACTAGAGCATTGGTGGCGAACCTATGGCATGCGTGCCAGAGGCGGCACTTGGAGCCCTCTCTGTGGGCACATGTGCCGTTGCCCCAGCCTTGCCTCCCCCCACGACCCCCTCCTCACCCGCAGCCCCCCTGGAAAGTTGCCCCCGAGTGCAACCCACGTGGAGCAGCACAGCCAAGGACATGGCAGCCAGGCAGCGTAGACAAGACTCTGCCCTCAGGCCTCATCGCGCACAGTTGATGCTGCGGGGTGTGGGCAGAGGGCGTGGCCACCACGGCGCTGCTGGGCTGCCTGGGTGATCTGCGGGTCCTGGAGGTGGTGAGTGGTTCTGCGGGCAGGCAGGGTGGGGGCGGGGCAGGGGGTGGAGTGGGGGTGGGGCCAGTTTTGGGGCACTCAGTCTCTAAAAGGTTCGCCATCACTGCACTAGAGGAACTAATAATACAAGGTTTTTTTCAGGGAATTCAGACAATTGTTCTTCATGTTTCAAGCAGATATTAGAAATTTATTTAGATATGCTTGTACAATCTAATCTTTTCTAAACCATATGCCTCTTGAACTGCAGGGAAGAGGGAAAAAGTCTTTTTAGTCAAATCTGCACATATGTGACATTACTGAAGTATTACTTTAAAACCTATTTATTTCCCCTCTTCCTCTCCTAATATTCTTGCAGAAGCTGCCGCCGCCGCTGCAGCTAACCCAGATGGAAATTCTACTCTGGGAGGAGGAGCAACAGCAGGCACCATGGGGCTCAGCGCCAGGTATGGCCCCCAATTCACCCTTCAGCATGTTCCTGATTATAGACAGAACGTGTATATCCCTGGGAGCACTGCTACCCTCTCCAATTCTGCTGGCAAACGTGATGGAAAACCGGCAGCCTCTGGAGGGGGAAATAAGAAGAAGTCAGGAAAGAAAGAGAAGAAGTAGGATCCACGGGATAACACAGCCACTTCCACGTAAATCTAAAGGGCAAACTCTTCCAGCACTCCCCCAGTTCATAGCCTAGGATGGAAGATGAATGTGAATTTGTGGTTAAACTTTTTTTAAAATATGGAACATTGTGAATGTACATTGTTGTTGTCATCTAAGATTATGAGTAGATGTACTGCTGTTATTCATGAAGAAAAATATCTGAATAATAACAAATACAGTGTATACTCTTTCGAGGACAATCTAATATGCAAGGGTGTCAGATCTTAGAAACATTTTCTTTCCTGAACGATCTGCATCACCAACAAAATTTAAGATGGGCTCTGCTCATTGTAAATACTTATTCTGAACAGAGTTTTTTATTTATATAAGTTCCTTCATTTTTACAAAAATTCTCACTTTTCCAAATTTTGATAGAAGTTCTTGGGGGGGGAGGGTTAAACATCATTTCAGCTGGAATCCTTGTTATGATATTGATAGGGAGTGCTTTAATTCCTGCTTTGTTTTAAAAGAAATGTGTATCCTGTATTATTATAAGAGAATGAGATTCAGCTACATTTATCTTTTTTACAAGTTTAACCAATGATGGCCAGAAAAAAATTAAACTGATATTGTAATTTCTGAGAAGCAAGGAGTGCATTTCAATGGGAAAACTTCCATGCACAAAATATGTCGTAGATATTAGCAAGACAGAGAACACTGCCACTCATGACTGATTTACAGTGATCTCTAAAGAGGCAACACATCTCATCTACATCAATATGTACAGTAAATGTTTTGTAGAAAAATTTGAAGAAAAAAGTCACTCACTTGTGAGCATAGTGAGCTACTGCTCACATCTTTGCTTGACTCCTGAGGGAGATGTCTTTGTTAACTGGATGAACACTGCTGATCTTATAGGTAGACCATTAAAAATAGAATGCTTCACATTTTTCTGCACATCAAACTGCATGCAAATCACTTCACATTTACATGACAGCTGACTTCACACCCAAGTTTGAATTGGAAAATTTATTGCATGACATGAACAGCATGTTAATATGCTCTCAAGTGCCCACATCAGCACTGTCTATGAGTAACACTATCACTAACAAGATGCATTGCCCTTCCTCAGAGATTGGGAAGCTTGTGTATTTCATTTCTCTGTGCAGTATAGCTAAAAAATAATGTTGGTTTGCTGGCCTTCACAATTTTATATTAAGTAGACAGTGGCTGATTTGGGAAAGCTAAGGGACCAAGCCCAATGAAGGTATACTGGAATTAGAACTGGACAAATTGCAAAGCCAATCACTTTATTCCTGAACTTGTTATAAATATTAAACAAATGACATTGTATTGATACAATCAGGCAATTTGAGACCCCTCCCACTACCTCTTCTTGGATATGAATAGAAATTAAAATAATAAAAATACAATTTGTGTTACTGTGTTTTGAAATTGCTAGACTCATTCTTTTTTACTGGATCATTTCGTAACCTAGTATGGACAAGAAGTGAAGTTTCCTAACTCTGACCCATAATGTAATGGCATTCTGAGTCAGGTAGGAAATTGTAATGTTACTTGGCAACATTGGTTGCCTTTCTAGATATATTGTAGGTTTCCTGTAATATCTTATGATTTTCTTTGTTGCAACAAAAGAGCCATAAAGAATCAGAGGAGCATATTTCCAACATGGAGAGCGAACCACTAGTCCAGTGGTTCTCAATCTTTCTAATGCTGCGACCCCATAATACAGTTCCCCATGTTGTGGTGACCCCCCAACCACTTATACATCACTGGGTGCCAGGGGCGTGGCCAAAGAAAAGGGGGGAAAAATGGCGGACAGCCTTGTTTGGCGACCCCCGTGAAATGGTCGTTCGACCCCAAATGGGGTCCCGACCCACAGGTTGAGAAACACTGCACTAGTCCAAGATTTTATTTTACACTGTAATAGATTGCTTGAAATAGTCAAAACAGGTCAGTCCAAACATATGACAAGTTTCCGAAGTTGCCTCCCAAACTGATTGGCCATGTTGTTGTCACTGCTAAAGTATTTTATACACTATTTGATGCTTTCCCTGTGTCTAGAAAGTAGGACTTGTCTACAAAAAGTTTCTGTCTACATATGGGTTTTGTAGTAATCCCAAATGCTTCTCCATCAACTTTTTCTTTGGTGACTGCACTAGAAACAGTTTACATAGTTAGTGAAATAGACAACAAACTAGTGGGATGTTCTGTAGCATGAGCCACATTTAAATAAATGAGAGCGCAATAGTCCTGTCACATGGCTCCCATTTATCTCAATGCAGTTTGTGCAGGTACACCTCTGCTGGATTGTGCCTAAAGCTTCTTATGTAATCAAGTAGTTAACATGTGACTTTTCCCAAAGTACTATAGATGATCTTAGTTAATCTTGTTTTTCATCTACACCTGAAAATAGTGTAGTAGTGCCTAGTGATGTGTGTTTTTTATTTGTTTAATCTTAGTAATTGAGTTGTGGACATCAGTATTTTATATTCTTTTGAATCTTCTTCATGTGTGTTCATTGTGCTTTTAACTGTATGTGAATTGAAACACACTTACTTGTCCCTCCAATGTGTCTAATATTGAGCTATACTTATATATTATATATATGCTTATATCCTTCTTATATCCATGTAACTGATATTGATGTGTTAACACGCAAGTTTTATACTCTAATATTTATATTGCTTTTTTCTTTGAGAAAAATAAAATCTTTTCTTCTGATGTGGGGTTACTGGTATGGCATGTTTCTAGTGAACAGGTTTTGAGTTTTAAAAATCTAAAAAAATATGTGGTGCAAGCACATTGCAACAAGAGAGTGTAGACTTTTATAATGCCACTCTTCTAAAAATGTCATATTTAGAATAGAAAAAGGAGTGTGTTCTATAAGTGAATGTTCTATTCTTTGGGCAAAAGGATTCTGGACACACAACACAGATATGGACAAAGAAAATTAAGCAATAACAAATGATGGCAACTATCACATGAATGTCAAGTTAATCATCTTTATTATGGGCCTCAGATAAGACAATATACAACGCAATATATGACACATCATAAAAGGGCCTGTAATTGTGCCTAGTCTAATTTGCATTTGGCAATGCATAAATTCTACAGTTACAAATTTAGCAATGGCAAGTGTTGTTTTAGGACCTTTATCCACCAAAAGAACCTGAATATTAGATTATTCTGTCTATCCGAGCAATGGGCTAAAAGGAGGTTGTAGTACCTCATCAAAAATATCTTGGTGTAAATTACAATAAAGTAAAACATGAGCCTGTCTTCACAATCCCATGCTGTATTGAGGTTTACTGGAATTTACCCTTGATAGCAAGATACTTAGTTGCAATTGTGTGAAAGTTCTACAATATTTTTAATTTGTAGTTTGGTCAAGATAGAATGCTAGTTTAAAATTTAAAAAATGGATAAATGTCCATACAATGCTCTGGGTAAGAGTTTACTACATTCTATTTGTAATTCTGTACTGAGAATCCTTTGAGAATTATGATAGCCTATTGTAGTCTTCAGGAATCCTGCAATACAAGGTGCAGATAGAAAATATACTCTATTTAATGTGCCTTTAATAGCTGTCACTTTAAAAAAATCTCAGAAATCACATTAGCTTTCCCCCCTCATAATTAACTAATTTATTTGAAATTAATGTTCCTTACAAATATGGGTTAATGATCTCACAGCACTTCTAAGCCTTGTTAATATCTGCAGCCCTGCAGCAGCATCTGCATAAAATAGTACAGATATTAGTCAACTTTCCATTGTGAGGGTGAATAGGGTAGAAGTGTTTCTGATATAAGTATTCTTACCCTGTGGTTCGATGGGCAGCCAATAAACTGAATAAATAAAATAAAATTGAACAATAATGGGACTAAATGTCACATTTCTGTGATTCATGGCATTTCATCCAAGGTTGTATTACTGTTGATAATAATGTAACTAGTCATCTGGCAAGTATGAATTACAGATTTTGAAAGGCTGGAATGTGTTGAATCAGGTCTTTTTGTCCAGTTTATCAAGGTCAATGCTGGGAAATTGGTATTCCAGCCCATTTTCCAAAATGCATATTTAGGTAGCAGCAGTTTGTACTTTCCATTGAAATTTTGGGCTTTGACTGCCCCAGTCCTCTGTGGACCTCCATGGCTAAAGAATGCACTGCTTGCAGAAGTTGGAAGTGATGTGACAGGCTGTTTTTGACCCTGTCCCATTTGTTCTGGATGCCAAAGAGCTAGTAAAAATTAAATAGTAAAAGATTCATGTTCTTAAATATTATGTGTCTCTAATACATCTATTGTTTCTGGTATCAAGATAACTACATTCAGGAAACTTATACTACAGTCTTGAAGATTTACTTATTTATTATTTGCCAAGATTTGTTTGCTGTCCATTCTCACAATTCTGGGAAGCTTGCAGGAATTACAATAAACTATTAATAAATAGTCATAAAACCAATAATTACTGTTAATAAAAATATTTAATACAAAATTAATAAAATGTGCTGCACTATCATTTTAATGATTTCCAAAGGATCATTATCCTCATTTTGCAAAATACAAAACAAACATCTGATCTCAGGAATGGGGCAAACTGTTACAGAGGGGGCTTTTACTGAATCTAGGAGAATATCATGATTGAAGCATTAACTTCTTAACTGTTACCCCATCAAGTATTATAGATGCAACATCCATGGTACTAGAATGTTTCTGAATCAACAGGCTCCTTTCTGAGATTTTAATGGCCCTCTGTCAATTCATCAAATCCAAGTGCAAGGATCAGTTGTAAGTTACTTTTTTCAGTGCCATTGTAACTCTGAATGGTTGCTAAACGAACGGTTGTACATCAAGGAATACAAACAAACACACACACTCTAGTATCCACGTCAGAGTGAATGAATGATTTATACTGCTTGGAGCTTCTCACACATCTTTGATGTTTACAGAATCCTATGCATTCTATGAAAATATGCCCAATATACATTTTAATGATCAAATTGATTGCAATTCTGTAGTTAAAAAAGGACTAAGTGCAGAAGTACTGTATTAAAAGCCCAGTGAAATAAAAGAAATTAGGGATCATCTCTAAATCACAAAAGCTCATATAAATAAAAAATGTGTTGTTTTAACGATCAGAAAATGAAAATATTGCCTTGCACGGTGGTTTACAAAAAACATTCAAAGAATGCATTAGGGCTACAAATGGAGACTAATCTCTAGTCCCAAGAAACTAGGCTAGTTTCTTGGGACCAGAGGTTAGTCTCCATTTGTAGTATCAAACTGCCGGCCGGAGGCATCGTGCCAAAACCGCGCCCACCCCATTCCGGCAATGGGAAAAAAGTCGCGATGCGTCGCAACACGCCACGTGACGTCGCGAGTTTGACACGCGTGGACTGGGGGGAGGGGAAACTTCCGAGGGGCCCACAGCAGCCCATTGGAAGAAAAAAGGTTTCCCCCCATGATACACTGCAGTACAGTATTGTTCATAAAGGCTCCCGGAAAATCCCTCCATACCTCAAGAGTCCAGGTATTACAATGGCCTCTCTTCCTTCCAAAACATACCCGTCCCGCTCCATTACTCTTCCCTTAGGCTGACCTAACAAGACATCTGAAGGAAAATAAAAGGCAGAAAGGGCACTAAAATGGTTCACGGATGTACCGGGGAACCTTCTCCCCATTCCGTTCCCGCAGATGAAATATACTTGGGAAGAAGCAGGGACAAAGCACCAAACACCCCCGTTTCAAGCTTCAGCAGCCTCTGACGCATTCCGACGTTTTACAACACTGTTTGGAAAGAACCCAGACGGTGGGAGGAGGCGGATCTCTACCCGAGGAAGACCATTTCCCTCCGGACAAAAAAGCGCGCGCAGCTTCCCCGCCGACTCGGGAATGCCCCCTTCAGCTGCGGTAGATCTAGCTCTCCAATTGCGTCGGCGCGCCCTTAGAGATTACAACTGCTTTGCCGGATACGCTTTGTGAAAGCAACCCCTTCCTTTCGCCTCAGAGGCCAGCGAGATGCAATCTTTCAGGCATAAGGGGAGGAGGGAGAGAATGAGAAAAAGGTCCCTTCTCTCAAATGGAAACCATAACCATCCTCCCGTGACACTTTTGCACGTGCGCAGAAGAGTTCCACAGACGACTTGCCATTAACTCCCCCAACAAAGGAGCAATGGAAAAACCCACCTCCCCATCAGGTCCCTCACTCAGCTCGTGGCAAGATTTCCTATTGGATGTTGCGATGATTATGTTCCCGGCGAAGAGCTGAAGGAGAGGAGGGGGCATGGTTAAAAATGTGGGTGGACTGGATAGCTTTTAAAGGAAACGATCTAGAATGTCGATTAAAATACTTGTGGCACCAAGAATAGTCACTTCAATTTCAGAATTTGTCATAAGTTTGTTTATTGGGGTCAGAAGCATCACAATTAAAATAAGGCATAATATATGACATAAAATTTAAAATATAAAATACAAGATTAAAGTATGTTCAAATTATACAGATCTTGCCCAGAAACTAGCAACATGAATCATTTTTCATTGTGCTACCATGAGTCCTCAAGTGTTCACTGATCAGGGCACAAAGGGCACATATTCATATATGTAGTTATCTACATGTGAAAAAATAATTGTGTGCACCCCCATGAAGCCGCTAAGAGGCCATAGTGACACGAAAGTGCAAAAAAAAAAAATACTCTCAACATCAGGCATGTAACAAAAATCGGCATGCGAGCTGCACGTACTATGCACACAAATTGCAATCAACCACGTCTATGAGAGCTTTCCAACTATCGGAAGAATGTCTGCGCATGACCTTGTCCCTCCCCAATTGCACTACCATTGGTAAGCCAGTACGATTCATAAGATTTATATCTACCCTCCCTTAAAGAAAAGCAGTTTAACTACTCATGGCTTCCATACACCGGAAGTACAAAGGTAGACAGAATCTGGGCAAAAATCCTGTTTATAACAGTTCTGAAATAACAGCATTCATTCTGCTTCCTTTAACAGTAGAGCTTCACTAGCCCCCATTCTCAACTCTCAGGAAGTGGAAGTTATTGTAGGTTTAAACAACCAGCCTCTGGGAACGGATGGGACATTGTTGGCAGTGGGAAGAACACCCAACTCTATCCACCTGGTCTACAGGAGAGGCCGTCTCTTCTCTTGCTTCACTAGCACAAATTAAAGGGCGGAACCTGTGCCATGCCCACGTTGTACCACGCTGCAAAAGTCCAAATGGCCACAAAATGCTAATGAAGAATTAGTTGACCGTGTTTCTTTCTGCCATCTACCAGTACTTGTCGGCCGGGTTTTTCCAGGCCAGGTCTGAAATGGCAGGGAGTTGGTCTAGAAGACTTCCAAGGTCCCTTCCAACTCTATTATTCTATGTTCAAGGATTTTGTGCCACAAAAGAAATGTGAAAGCAAACTTGGGCTCAAATTTTGAACAAATGTTTTTAAGACTGATAATTCTTTGCATACCTATCAACGTGCTTGCAAGGCTCGGCTGATATGAAGAAATGCAAGTGACAAGTGTTTGGGGAGCTGATCACTTTTTTACTGTTTTGGAATGAGTACAGGCATAGACAAGCCATGAGTCACAATCAGAAGACAGATCATGAATCCTGCCACATTTACAGTGATCCAGGGCTGGGTGGCCAGTCCCAAACCATCACATGCTAGTGATGGCAATCTGGCTGGAGTGGGTTTCAAAGCGGAAAAAAAT